GATGGAAAAGCCGGCGACTATAGGGAACACAAGACAGCTTTACAGACTAATAAAAGAAACTGGAATTAATAAGTCAAGTGTAAGTGAGATTAATTCGGAGAAAGACGATACTCTCATCTGCTCCCAGTACAAACGTTTAGAAAGATCGGCGGAACATTTTAGGGAACAGTTCAGCTGGCCTTCAGCTACTCTACAACTACCCTCCATTCCCAGACAATGTGAATGGAACATTGAAGTAGGTCCCCCAACTCTTGCTGAGGTTCAAAAGGCTATAGTTCATCTGAAACAAGGAAAGGCAGCTGGTCTAGATGGATTGGCTCCAATAGTCTTTAAGGATGGTGGTCCAATTTTAGCGATTAGGTTGACTAATATTTTAGCTAAGATCTGGGAGTTAGACGTTATCCCATCTGACTGGTCGCAATCACTTATCGTCCCAATATATAAGAAAGGGTCAAAATCATCCTGTGACAACCACAGAGGGATTAGTCTAACAAACATAGTATCTAAAATACTGGCCTCGATAATTATCAGACGCCTAACTAAGACTCGTGAACTACAAACTCGAGAGAACCAAGCTGGCTTTAGACCTGGTCGTGGCTGCATCGACCACATATTCACCATTCGTCAGGTTCTAGAACACAGGCATACCTATCGGCGTCCGACGATGGTGGTCTTTCTTGACTTAAAAGCAGCGTTTGACTCAGAAGACCGCGAGACTCTGTGGCAGTGTCTGTCATTGAAAGGCGTACCTCAGAAGTACATAAACCTTGAGAAGGCTCTTTACTGGAACACTACTAGTCGAGTGAGAGCTTATCGCGAACTGTCATCTGCCTTTGCAAACTCAAGTGGTGTCCGTCAAGGCTGTCCACTTTCTTCATTTTTGTTTAACTTCATCATAGACCGACTGATGGAAATAACACTCTCGTCGACTGAATTCTCGGGTATTGATCTCCTTCCAGGAGGTCCACTTACCGACTTAGAATATGCAGATGACATAGTCCTGTTTGGTGAAGACGCTGACAAAATGCAGAGTCTTCTGGTAGCACTGAGCAACAATGCCAGGATGTTTGGAATGCGCTTCTCTCCCTCTAAATGCAAGTTGTTGCTTCAGGACTGGTCTGCGTCAACACCTGAACTAAGGATAGGGGGTGAAGTAGTCGAACGCGTTGACAACCTCACTTATATTGGAAGTCTGATCAGCTCTAACGGTTTGGGGCCTGACGAAACCTCCGCACGGATTCGAAAAGCTCGTTTGGCTTTTGTCAACTTACGTCACCTGTGGCGAAGGCGAGATATCTATCTATCAATTAAGGGGTGAGTATACTGCGCAGCGGCTCGTTCTGTTCTACTTTACAACTGAGAAACGTGGCCTTTAAGAGTAGAAGACATTCGTAAGCTGCTAGTATTTGGTCACAAACGCCTTATAAATGCTGCTCGCATCTACTGGGTTCGCCGGGTAAGTAATAGTGAGGTTAGACTCAGTTGATGAGGTTGTGAATCTTCGAGTGAGTTGGTTGGGCCACGTATTACGTATGACTGAACACCGGCTACCACGACGTGCAATGCTAACCGGTGTTGGAGATGGTTGGAAGAAAGTTAAGATCGGCCAAACCAAAGCGTGGCATCAGTGCTTGAAGCCACTAACGTCTAGTCATAGCCATGATGGTAGATGCAGATTACTTTGTTGGGGTCCACATGACTATCGTAACCAATGGTTGGAGACTGGGTGACATGGCTCACAATGGCGTCGGTACATACTCTTTGTTTTCCCTTAAACTGTGAGATTAAGGTTGCTTTATATCTTTCTTTCTACGAACTAATTCTTTCTTGTATCATATTCTTATATACAATCTTTCTTTTATATATTACTACCATTGAAGTAACTACTTCCATGAATTTGGTGTTCATCATGTGCTAATGAGGTGTGACATTTTGGACCGATGCATACATATACCTGGTCCTGTGTTGTAGCCGATTGTTTTTTTTATTTCATTCATTATAACTTACAAGAATCGCAATGATTCAAAGAACACCAATTAATCCCATATTCTTAAAATCAATCAATAAAATTACTGGGAGTCCCGTTTATAGAAATGACTAATTTTTAATAATTATTTATTTACTTGATTATTGAATAAGGAGTTTTACAATAACTGAATACATTTCCTGTTAATAATACAGGGTAATAAATTGTTTTTGAGATCCTTTGCTATAAAGATTTGGGAAAACAAAACCTACTCATGTCGTAAACAATCTGAAATGGAATAACTCAATCAAAAATCGTCACTACTGAATATGTAAAAATTTCAGTTGAACAGGTAATTTAATTGATTTTTAAAAATCAAATTCGTTTGGAATAATCAATTAAATCCATTTGGTAGAGATTGGACTAAAATGTCTGTGATATTTAGTTAGAAATACTACTCAGTCGCTAGGATTGTAGTAGCAGGAAAGGGGCTAACATCTGAGAACAACTGGTTGCAAGGTGCTTTAACAATTATTACACAGATCTACTGAAAATAGATGATTGGATAAACTGATTGATGTAAATATTAAGTCCTGATAAGCAAAATGATATAGAAATTAAGCTTGACTGTTTTTACCGGGGACTGAGGGATTTATATCCTACGTAAGTGAAAATGTTAACAGAAAATCGACCCAGAAAGAACTTGAATAATTATTATTAGTAAAACATTAAAAATGTCTTTTCATGATCAGTGACTACAAGTCAAAGTAACATGAAATTAAAGTTGATCGTTTTTTATAAGCAGAGATAGACAAAGGCTATCATTGGGACGCGCGCCTCATCCTACTTAGGACTCGTCATCTGGTTATAACTACACCCCAGAGTTGGTGTTCACTCCTTACTCGAAACCAGTACATGTATCTTCAAACAGCACCACGTTATTCACCTAGCTATTGAGTTCAGATAGTCATTGGCTTGTATAATGGGGTGAGACACGATTCATTTTTATATGAGTTGTTTGAATCTTCCCATTGATCTCTCCTGTTAGCATATGTGAACATCAAATCTAGGATGCAGGTACATCCAGCTGACGAGCCCAAACTGGGAGGAAATATACGTCCTGGATCCCACTGTTGGTCACCATTCATATCTGCTTATGACTTAAGGTAATATCTACTGAATCCGCATAGGATCCACATATGCCAAAATGTTTGATCATTTGTAAGGTTCGTTGGTTTTTAAAACAATTTTCGGAAGTTTTTGTCTACTAATTATTACAAATTTATTTAGACGATAAGAGAATAAGTGAACGTAGTCCAGTTATGGTGCGCACTTTTTAGTACTACAAAAAGTACGAATGCATGGGAAAATGATTGGTACTCCAATTTATCATTACTAAGCAACGCATTATCAGTACACAATTTTAGGAAACTAACGGGAACTGGTGTTTTCACCGTAACTGATTAAACATCAGCAAAATATCCGGATGTTTTAAAGTGAGCAGTAATTCTTTTTATCTCGGTTTTACTGTTTATACTCGTACGACATTATTGTCAACTACAAAGTAGGTACTATTGCTGAGTGCGACTAGCTTCAAAAAATATTTGAAATTATTCTGAGATGTTTGATTATGAATATCAACAAAACTGTTATAAAAGCCTGACATACGAAGAATAATCAATATAAGATCATTTCAACCGATTAACAAGCCCACGATAACAGAAGAGAGAACAGTGGCATAGTTTCAATACGCTTTTATGGTATTTAATTCGGTTTATTGAATAAATATTTACTCAGTATGATTAAATAAACATTTAATTGAAAGATGAAATATTTTACTGATGATAAATACAATTTTACAAAAAAAGGGAGAGACAAAAATATCATCCGACCTACACAACAGTAATGACAATTCAAAAATAATCAGGTTTTTTCGAAGGAAAGAATTGAAACAGAAAGGAATATAAGACAGACTGGAAAAAAAATTTCATGAAAAATAAAAGTATAAAAGTAAGGAATCGGGAAAAAAGTGAAGAGAAGTGGAAGCATTTCATCTTTTGTCTGCTATTTAAATTACGATTCTTTCTTTTTTTTATTAGAAATACTATTTCATCGTAATGAACGAATGTATATCTCTTTCTCTCTTTGTCTGTTCTACATTCAATTTGCAGAAAAAAATAAACATAGCTGAGATAATTGAAACGGACTGATATTGTATCGATATATATATATCAAGATAAGAGAATAACTGACAAAATACATACATAGAAACAATAAGTACACATACATCATCATTGTTTTGTAATTGCTTTTGTCCAAGATATTAGAAATACTCTTGCACTAAAGAGAACCGTAAAAAAACAGTAGCAGAAGTAATAATAGTAGTAAATAGAAATGCGAAACAAGAATAATTTATGATCGATAAGTGAAGATTTCATTTACAAACAGAGCAATTTTTAAAGAAGAAAAGGTACAAAGAGAGAGAAAGTAACAATGTAATACAACAACAAACCAACAAAAAATCAGTTTAATTAAAAACGCAATAAAGTCTGAGTGATATTTAGCGATTGCCACTCTTACCAATATACGAATATACAGGTCATTTACTCTCGATAAACAACAGTATACAACAAGTATACAATAACAGTTGAAATAACAGCAATGATGATGTGAACAATCTTTCAACAAATTAATACTACATGCATTGCCGCAAAACAGATATTCATTAGTGAATTCAGTAGATGAAATAGGAGTGAAGAGAGCAGGGGCTAATAACCGATGATGTAGAGAAAGAAGTTTTTCTTGGGAAACAAAAAATAGCACTCTGGAGTTTCGACAGAATAAAGAAATATATTATTCTAATTTACTGCAGAAATGATACCACACATGTAAATGGATAGATAGAAGAATAGAGAAAAATGTTAGACACAAGGCTTCACAAGTGTAAAGAACGGAAGACGGACATATAAGTGATATTATATATCGAACATAATGTCATATGCATCGCCCCCGAGCATGATTGTATGGCCCAAAATTACGAAATCTATAAAGAGTCAAAGTATAAAGACAAAAAAGCAATTAAGTAATCCAGATGAATATTTTTTTACTCAAATAACAATACTGAAGAAGGGATTTAAACGAAGTTTTACGCCAAGAAATAACCTCAGTTAGAGAACTGATTTTAATTAATGATAGAGAGGAACAACTGCATTTTCGTTTTCAGCTTGATTATTCGTATAACCCAAACATAATCCATGAAATTTTCATCTAAATGAACTAGTGGAAAATCAACAATTCGATAGTAGATCAGAACAGAATTCATTGTCAATTACGTAACTACGCATAGATTGGTTAAAATTTAGTGACTGATAAAAAAATGTCGAGTCAATAATTCATATAAAAACTCTTTATCAACTTCTACATAGACAAGGTTATCTGAGATAAATCGTATTGATTCAAAAGCTCTGAGATACTGTGAGAATGCTAGTGACGTATAAAGCACAAGTATACAAATCTGTACTTGGTATATTGGTCATTCAATAAAGTACATATATATATGGTTATTTATACAATCTGTTGAGTTATATAGTGGAATTCATCGTAGAAATCTTAATTTTTATTCACATAAAAACAACATGAGAGGTCAAGTGTACACGAATAAGCCTTCATTAATCAAGAAGGAATATTTCAATCGATATGTTGAACTTTCACAGATATGTTTCATTTAATGAACAACATTGTGTTTGAAAAATATTCAAGGATTGAGTCAACTAAACAAGATTTATACTTTTAGAAAAAAAGAAGAAAAATATATGCAAATATAATACAAAATAATTTAGCACTCTCATAATAGCATTATTCTATTACCATAATTATGGTTACTCCAGTCATTGTTGACTTCCAGGATTGGAGATCTCCTGTTGCTGTTGGCGAGCATTTCGTTGACGTGTCAATTGTAGTTCACACTGACTCTGACGATGTTTGTCCACTAGATAAGAAAAGCTTGTATCTAACCATTGTTTAATATCTGAATAGGTGACAATAATCACATTTTGACTATCACGGCTGACTAGACAAAGACGTTCGGGTGAAGCAGCTTCAACCTGAAATAGAAATTGATTAACTCTTTACATGGATAATGAATGGAAAATAAAGAATACATTTAATAAATTAATGGAAAATAGATTGGGCAATGGAACAAATAAATCAACAAAAGTTATTATCCAGTGATTACAATAAAAAAAAATCCAAGTCGAGTAAAGATGCAAGTGGTATTGGGTCAAGTTTACTAGTCCATTCTATTTTCAATACAGTATATTAATATTTCTCACTTAATATTTGAGGTAAAACTTATATGAAAATTTAACCCAAAAATAATGTGGTTTATTCACTGAATTAAAATAGTATGATTTAGAAAAAAAAACAAATGTCAAACATATTTAAAAAAAGTAAAAAGACTTCATAAGGTGAACATACACCGAATAACAGGGAAATTACAATATGTAATATTATTAACAACCATCAATTGAGTTGGCGTAAATTATCAAATAACAAGTGAACGACGATGATGCACAATGAGAACTAGACTTCTGACAACCAAAACCACGATTTAGGAGTATTACACAAATTATTGGTTAACATCACTCCAAAGAATGTCATCTAATAATCTATAAAGAATTTTAATTTATCCATTGGTTATTACTTGTTGATTAACTTCATAAAGTAATCGAGTGAACGATAAATGAAATATACTACTGAATAAAATAAAGCATCAAACAGAAATCAGTATACCAACTAAATGCTTTTGTTTAGCATGTCATCAAAGTGACATAAAAATAAAACTACTTTAACTCAACACATGTAAACACTGACAAATTTGAGTCACGGAGAGAGAGAGAGAGGGAGGGAGAAAGAGGAAGAAAATGTTTATATCATTACAATGTGAACAAAGTACACTCTTTTTTTGGAAAAAAATAGACATCTTCAATTAACAAACCTTTGGTTAATTAGAATAATAAAATGTTTGAATTTCTATCTACGTAATTGAATTATAATTGAATGTGAAGATTAAAACATATACTGGATTAAGAATCATATACACTAAAATGAACCCAATAATTTTAATGAAAATATTTATCAATAATATTTATTTATTTGCAGAGCATACATTTACTGACTAAAAATGTAGTTTCATCTATAATTCTACTGAACAGATGAAAAATAACGTACCTTGTTCAATGTAGTAATAATATGTGCAAGATCTAAGTATGGAGCACCAAGAGGATCAGATTGGTGAAATACGAAATCTCGAAATAATTTCAACATATAACGGTCACCTGTTTCAGACCATTCTGGGGAAGTACCCTGACTATAAGACAGTTAGGAAATGAAATATTATTTACTTATGGTATCTTGCAACAATCCTGAAAAATTGGTATAAAAATTAACGTTGGTTCTGAATACATATATTCAATTGAATCTGACTATCGTATTTTCTGGCATCTCAAAAAATAGGAATTATGAGAAAGAACATATTAATTTAGCATTGTATATTTTGTGGGAAAAAAGGTACTTGATCAGTTTAAAGAGTATTCCTAATGTTTGCAGAGTTGGATTGAACCATCAACTTTAAAACAAGATGGCAGGTCCCGAAATAACTTGTATTGATTCCATTTATAAAGTATTTTCACATCATCTGGAAACTTATTCGAAAAATCCATACCTGCTTAAGTTGCAGTGATATTTCTAGGATGATTCTTATTAAAAACTAGATAATGTTTATCCACAAAAACACTGAAAGCTGGATAATGATCAGTCGGTATTACGAGTTTATTGTAAAATTCTATTTCAAAATGACTATATTTGGTACTAAATATCCAGAATGTTCATCAAATGAATGATACACGGTCAATAAAAGTCGATTTAAATATTCATGTACTACAGGTTTTCGATCAAGTCCAAATCCATAAGTCACTTTGTTCGATATTTGTTGATATTAGATGAATACTCACACTTGAAATAGGCGTGTATTGTAGATAAACCTACGATCCAATCCAAAACATATTAAAGGTTCAAAACTATTTTAATAAAAATAACATTATTTATCTTTCAGTTTAAAGGAAATATTAGTTGCTTGCACAGTAAGGGACTATTTCAATGGAGAGACAGCTTAGTAGTAGTGAAAGCAATTAACTTCCAACCATTGTCACAAGTTCGAATTTAGTTCCATTTACCATTTTTAGTCAGCCTATAGTGGTATCATTTGTTTACATATCAAAATGCGGTTGGTAACCGCTTACACGGACCCAGAACTTGGTAATTGGGTAGCATTAAATCTCTTCGTCCTTTGCAAAAAAATTATCTTCTGGCCTGGTGAAAACAACTTATGTGTTGAAAATATGAACTGAAAGCTTATAAATAAATGGATTTCGTCCCTAACAGATAACTAAACCATTTTATATGAATAGCAATAACACAGAAGAATACAGAAAACATGAAGGAAAAATAAACAATCAACTAATAACTCGACAAAAAATTGACCAATCTGACATAAGAGCATATTATAATATTTAACAACGGCTAATATCGACTTTCTTCAAGACAATGGATAACTCGATATTCCTCAATAAAAGAGCATAATTAATAACTTTCGCAAAACTTTTTTGTACAACACATGTACTGACAGACAAAACTGTCACGTGACATACACATTCACATATTTACTTACACATAGAATGTAAGTAGAACGATATGTTAAACCAAAATAAATCTGCAAGTAAATAATACCTACTGTATTTTTTTTATTACAAAACAATAACTATGATGGATTATTACATGAAATATTTATAAATTGTAAAACAATAATTAAACAATGATTAATGCGGTAAAATCTACATAATGTAATGTAGCATATATTCTTGTGAATCTTAACAAATATATGAGTAGCATTACCGATTGATCCGAGGTAAACACAACTAGGCAAATTACCATAGAATAATAAAACTGCTTAGGATCATTTTGAAATTTTTTAAAAATAATACTGAAATTGTTATCAATTGTGGTAGGTAGGATAACAAACAGTATTTAATAGACTTTTTGTCTGAATAGACACATTAATGTTCGTTGTAAAATACGTCTCAAAAACAGCATTTATTAAGCAGAATAAGTGATGAAAAACCAATGCAAATTATAATTCACCAATATATGAAAAGAAGAATTGTGAGAAAATAATCCGCGATTTAATGATAAATTATTACAGTTATAAAGAATAAGCGTAAGATACAAACAAAATCCTAAACACAATCGACTAATCTATACCATAAAGTAGGATTAAAATAAGGTGACCTTAGAATGTTTTTAAAAGAAGTGTCTGTAAAAATTACTTAAAATATAAAAGCGGTTGAAATAATTTCAACCCAAAGAAAATGAACGAAATACCTGCTAAAAAAACACACTCACTCGCAACGCTCCACAATAGATTGAAGTTTACAGATGAGTCGGAAAAGTCTGTCACATTCCAGTTCCTAAACAGTAAAATGATATATCGAATGGTTTATGAGTGAATTTTGTAAATATTTAAAATATATATCGACATTAAAGTGAATAGTAAAAGACGATACAATGTAGCCATACATTACAGTGTCATTTGTCCTTACGAAAAACAGTTAAATAACTTATCAAAACTGATAAACTTATTTAGAAGTCAGGTCCTATTCACAAGGGTTCACACACTGTAAGTGTTAGGGTTACTTCAACAGAAGTTGATGGAGCAGAGTTTATCTTCTGACTTAACATTCAAAAGACAAGTGAACTAACTAATTATATCGCTGCTTCGTGTATGAAAAGTCCTGACACATTGAGTAATAATATGTGAATGTCGAATATACTGAAAATAACATATGTAGTTGAATAATATCAAGTGGATTAATTTTTAAAATATTTAGCGGTTAGCAAGCTAAAAAAAATTACGTATACAGATAAGCAACTTATGGTTGAGAAAACAATGGTTTAAATAATATAAACGGAAGTTGATCACAAGCAGTTGATGTCATATGATTTATTGTAAGGTTTATTTACAAAGGTGATTTATGAAATTATTACTTTTCTACCAACTTTCTTAAAATCATTCATCGTAACTAATTTAGGTTGTAAAAATTTAGAGAATATTCTCGAATTACTGCTTGTTATTTGTTCAATTCAAAACTAACAAATCAAATCAAATCTTCGAGTATTCTAAATGTCTGAATTTTTTATATTCTTAGGTTTTATGAAGTAAACTTTTTACTGTAGTTCATAAATTAAACAACAATCATAATATCTATACACCTATTGAGCCTAGAACTACAAAATATAAGAGCAATTAAGTTTTCAAACCCAACTAATCATCGTTATTCAATAAATCAAAGGTAGGTAATGTATATCAAGTCTAAATACAACGAACTAGGTAAACAAGACAATTTGCTCAAGCTTTTAATCATAACTGATTCTCAATAGTGTCAAAACAGAGAATCAAGATTCACAGCATTGTTTTACATTTCCTTGTTATCTTTATTGATTTACATCGTTTATGAATAAACTGAGAGTCGGGGCATATATTACAATATGCATAAACATGTAAACACATCAAATATTATATTTGAATAGCAATAGTCTGAAAGCCTATCATTAAGAGAATATATACCTGGATATTCCACTTATTTTGAAATTGTATGATACACAAAACTATTTACTATAATTTTGTAGAAAGGCACAGAACACTTTGGCATACAGGATATGACTTATTGCATAATAGTATTAAGCCATAAAAGGTGAGTAGAGTAGATTATAGAAACTAAAAAAGTATACAAATATTATTTTAGCACAAAAATCAATAAATTGAGTGACATCGTTAACTAATATCTAGATGGAAGTAGTAGTTAGTATATATTAACAAAACAATTTGCACGATTACAAATGAAATGAAGTTTATGAAATAAAAAAACAATACTAACAATAAAAACAAAATTGAAAAATCTTTAAACTTAAAGAGACTACAGCTAAGCAGTAAAAATACTGTAATATTGTATCATAAGAAAATGAGTTCATGTGTTATAATCACTGATGAATTCAATATTTGAAGCACGAAACAAGACAAATCCGTAGTGTGATGACATACGGGAAAAATTATATATGAAACATAGACATATTAGACTATACAAAATCTTGTATATGTGAGCTTATGAATCAAAACGAGTTATCATCAATCACACAGTGTCTATGTATAACAATAAACCATTGAGTTGTAATATAATAGATATCAAAACAAACGAGTTCTATCTGCATTTATTTCTTTTATTGCATCGTTTTTCATTCCTAGCAGTCATAGAATTGTGAAAAAAACGAATATAATGAGTTTATAATATTTATAGTATGTGAATAGACTGTTTGAACTGTAACAGATACAAATTACAGTAATGAAGAAACTATTATTATTATTATTAGCTTTATTCAATATTATATTATTGGTACAATATAGAATTCTCAGCACAAAGTATTTCAACAAGTTTCCGTTTTTCTTCTTGGTCGGTCCTCGCAATAAATATTAAGTGATCGCCAGTTAGATGTTAGCAGTCCAGTAAATGAACATCTGAATAATGTACATGCTTTTCGTTGTATATTGCCAGCAACCCCATTCTCTCTTTTTGTAACTTTGACAACGAAAGGTTGTACACTTTTCAGAAACGCAGCAGAATAGGTTATGCGATTAATAGACATAATGATATATTAAAACAAACAAAAATAGATAACTTGTTGAAATATCTAGATGGCAGCAACAGGTAGCCGAGATGCTCAAGCAGGCCGCCTTATTAAACATTTACATAACGTACTCACCAATAATAATTGACTTTCCAAGAGATCTGAATGATCATATAACCTTGTTAAGTGATCGAATGCAAATGGTGCAGTAGCCCGCATTAGTTGATCTGCTCCTGATATCTGTCCTGATACTAAACTTCGAATAAGAGTGACTAATTCTGGTCGGTATGCACGCTGAAGTAGGTTGAATGAAGAAGCCCGTTGACTAGCCTTTATAAATAAATAAATTAAAATGGTGAAAAAATCCAACGGTAATTATGATTTCATAGAAAGTGATAGAACAAAGTGTTACGTTGAGTGGATAACACATGAGAAGTTAATTAAAAGTTACTCTAGGAAATAGTTTAAAATTGGATTCAGAATCTTTTATACCTCAACCACAGGCACAATTTAATAAAGGCTTTTAATTGTCTTGATAATTAAATATATTAGTTGTAACTTAATGAAAACCCTTTCACATAGATATATTGAAACTATTGTGAGTCATGAAAGAAAAAACAAGGCTTCAAGACTTCCGTCTAACCTAACAGGATTAGTCAGTAACATCAAAAGCAAATTAGCATCTTTGATGAGCTAAGAAAGGGATCAAGGTTGGTAACTTCCAGGAATTAGCTGATCATATCAAGTAGTTATTGAGTTAGACAGATTTGGAGGCGATACAACTTAGGTTTTAAAAAATGTCAAGAACGACATTCTAGATAACAAAAAATTGTACACTAAATGAATTTGTTTGAGGAAAAGAATATTCACTAACCTGTACAGCTGCAACTGTACCACAAGCAACTCCTATCATTAATTTGCCAAGTTGAATAAAGTCAGCTGCCTATAAAGTAAAACGACGAGTTATCAGTAATAAAGACCCTACAGAAATACTTATCGTCAATTAAATTAAAACATATATGTATATAGAATTTAATAAAATTCAGCATTAGATATCATGAATCAGTCATTAGATTGAATGTTTGAACACTATTATTAGTGGTTTCACAGTTTAAAAAACTTTACCTTTTTTATATTTGTGCATAATAATAATGATAATAATTTTCTATGGTGAAGAAATATCTGACGATTTCATGAACAACCATTTTATTAGAATTTTTCGAGATTATTTAACAATACCAAACCGATATGTCTTGCATATAATATAACATTGGTCTCAATAGGCAAATACTCATAAGGAAAAATGCCGTTTAATACATAACCAACGTAATACTAAGCATAAGTTTGGATTGAGTCAAGCTGCTACATCATATGAACACAGTGAGACAACAGTAATGAGACAGATAGTAAATAAGTCGGAATAATAGTAGTAACAATGAGAATAAGAATGAACAAACATATAGAATTTGGCTCAAAAAGAAGAACGGGTCAAAAATATGAGATACCTATGAAACTCAAGATCTAGGGGAATCTTAAGGATGAATGCATATACGTTATTGTAACTGACATTAAGTAATGATACCTAAGGTAACCAACCATTGTGACTGGGTGGCGAAAAAACGAACCTTTTCTAATAAAAAACGGTAAAAACTGAATGGTGATAGAAATTGAAACAGAACTTTGACAGTGGGCTGGTTCAGATAAACGAATTTCGGGTTATCACTACAATCAATTATGTTACAGAACTTGTCTGACAAGTGTTCCATAATTTTACTCTAATAGATATTATACATATGTATAATATTAAAATTGCTAACATACCTGACTTTCTACTAAATTGGTATCTTGTGCAGAATAGAACAGAATATCCTTTAAACCAAAACAATTGATTCGCAAACTATGGAAAGATATAGAAAGAAATTGATGGAAAAAGAATAACAAGCTACATAATTTTATGTAGAGAAAAGTGAGTGTATTACTCAATGACAGAGCATCAATGGTTTGTCTACAGGCATTACAACTCTAATTGTGTTATCATACCATAAACAGATGCTTATTGAAGCAAACAGAATAAATAGATCCTAATTGTATCATTTCAGTTTTAAGTAGATATTTACTACACTAGTAACAACCATCAGTCATTTTCTTCCGGTCAAACTATAGACAGTTATATAGGACTTAGTTAATGAAGCAAGTGATGAAATACCAGATAGTTTATTTAGAAAAACAGGATGAAATTATGAAAACAAATTACTGTCAAACTAGATTTATACTAATTCCACTTAATTCACATTAATTTACAATAAGACCCATATCATTTTAAACATATGAACTAATAAACATAAGACTAGACCTATTAGTAAATCGTTGTTTATGAAACTATTAGATATAGGTTGTTTAAATCTTCTCATTGATGTCTAGGACTGCAATCGATCAGACTCTTCTTGGCATACGTGCACCCTATGTTAATTGTCTCGATATTGCCAGTAAGTCACAAGCATAAGGCACAACCAACGAGTATGAATTAGAATTTAAAATTCGTCGCATTACACAAGTAAGTGGCTATCTGGACTCAGGAGCTAAGCAAACAACGCGATGACGTTTTAAGAGAAAGGTACTGGGTTCCAGTCAAGGAGTGAACACTAACTCTGGGATGTAGATACATCCACGTGATGAGTCAAAAATAAGACGAAACGCACGTCCTGGATTCCACTGCTAACCACCATCCATCACAGCTTAAAATACTTGAGACCGGTTATTTCCAACGAACAAATTTGATTCGATATAATTTATTCAATACTAGATAGTTCCAAACAAAACGCCAGCCTTTCATATTGCTTAGAACTGAAAGACGCGTTGATTCATTGTATTAATCGTTGAGAGTCGTTTCGACTGTTTGGCTTAGAATCTTTCGTTGAGTCTAACAAGTCAGTAAATAATTAAATATATGTCACTTTGATGTGTTAAAAAAGAACGATGATGAAGTAAGAAGACAGTAAGGTAAAATTTTACTTTTAGGTTAGTGTAGAAAAGAGAATATTCTTGTTCAGTATTCTTTGTAGAATAAACTATTAGAAGGAAAATAACTAGCAGTTTATAAATTTGTATAGGTAGTAGATTTAACACTTGAGCAAAACATAATTCGAAAGCGAGTCGAGGTAGTCTGATTACAATAACAAGTGAACGTTTTGTTGGAAAGGGGTGTCGCAACTCGAAACGATGTACGAATGTGCCAAGTTCTACATTGCGTATGACTGACTGATTGAACTTCTTGTTAAAAGCAGACACACAAAAATGTCTGGAGATTTTGTACTTAAGTAATTGCACAGAAAGTTTGTATTTAGTAGAAATAAGCTGGTGTTATAAAATAGTCCCTTCTAAAAATAAATATTCATCTATTGGAATGATTTCATATAATTAAATGGTTTAAAAAAACCTGAGAAAGCAGAGTTTTGCTCAACAATATTTGCTTTAATATACAGTTACCTGCAATGAAACGAATAACAACTTTACATACCTTTAAATATAGTTTTAATCAGAAGTACGAAAATTATCAACAAATAGTACCAATAGTGTTTGTGTTTGTTTGAGTGACAAGCAGAAACATTCAGGTTTGACGTCAGATGAATATGAAGCACGATGTTAGGAATTCGACCGGCCAAAGAAATTAAACAAAGACTAGAATGTCAGACACATTTCTTTTAAAATTCAACACAGAAGCCTACAGATTTTTTAATGTTGTAATCCCTCCAAAATTAAATAATTTTCTAGTGTGATTGCCATTTACTCGAAGTAAACAATGTATGATATCATATTCATCATAAGTTTGCAGTACACACATAACATATGACATTTGGATATAAATTTTAAAAAATGTAAAGATAAAATTATAAAATTTTAGTGCTAAAAAACAGAATTCTACCGCGGTCCATCTTGTAATAACACTTTAGTAGGATCCAGTATACCACATGATCGGTGAAATGTTTGGTGAATAAAACGCAAACCACTGGTTAATTGAATTAAATATGACCACATAACAGACTCATGAGGCATTCCGAGATCAGATGGAGCACCTACAACCAAAAAATAAATAAACAGAACAATATCAATGCATGTAATTAGTAACTACTTGACTAAAGGCTTTTCAACGTATATAGTGCAACCACAAATATACTGGCGTTTTTCTTACTGCGATTCCTAATTCCATCCAACCTTGTTATTTGGAACATAATTACGTTTCTGTTCAACCGTGTTCTGATATGGGGACTTGTCGAGTGAAGTATTGTTCAAGAATACTAAGCACTAAGAGTAACTAGGTTATAATAAGAGAAATCATAACAGCTGACAATACAATGTTTGAAATTCGAAAGAATGTGAAGAGCGAATTCATCCGTATTTGTCTCACTTTTGCGGGACGCGATAACTTTCAGGGATGAATTTTTATATGATATTTTTCTTTTTTGGATTTATTTTATCCTATATAAGTGTCTGTACTGAATATCGAATAAACAAACTGTTTTACAGTAAAAAAAACCTTTCAATCTCTATATCTACTTAATACAGCTTATGTAACCATACAGTCGAGTACATTGAAATATGAATAGTTTCTACGTTTCATTTCATTATATTGTTGATATTAATAAACTTACTTTTTATGGCACTATGAGGTAACACTGTACGACCAATACTGAAAGGCGAAGTAAAACTAGTTAATTTCAATGGATCACTCATATGAATTTGTTGTAGAGTTGATGAACAAGGTATGTATTCATAAACCAGGATAACCGCTACAAAGCACAAGTAGATTTACTTGAAGGAATATTATGTTAATGTGTGCACTATTTATAAGGATATTTAATAATACAGAAATGTTTCATAAAAAGCCAGTGAGGAGCAAGTAATACTGCCAGAGAGCTGTCATGATAATAAAAGTAAATCACCATAATACAACTGAAATGTAATAAAACCTATTAGTTAGCTTACTGGAACAGATTCGGATCTAGGAAGACAATAAAAATATTAAATACGAAGTTGACTCATCCTTCTGTCATGAATTTCAGGCATTCTACTAAAATTTAGATTACTGTTTTCTAATACACATTATAAATTGAGAAGTAATTTTTGAAATCATATTCCTAATTCGTCTGACGTTAACACGAGAAAAGATAGATGCTCCATGTCCTCTAGGTTACAACTGTGACAATGTGATGAAACACCTCTTTATAGTTAATAGAACGTTAGTATAAACTAGCAAATATATAAGTGGACCCGTCTGTGTACTAGGCTGTGAATTACGTTTGTTATGTTGGGATCAGAAATATTATCAACTGCTCACAAACAGAAATCTGTAATCTGTTATTTGAAAATTAAGTCTCATACTACAAAGAAATGGTCGTCCAGTTCTTCCATTTATTTATATATTTATTTACTTGAACACATAAATATTGGTACAAAGGGGCACTGAATACATATGCACCAAACAGGTCACTTGATTTGAGTGTGGGCTGTGATAATGCCCGGGTGCCCAAACCAAAGGAGGTGGTTTTCTTAGGGAGCCACGCTCGCAGCCTTCGGCCTAAAGGTCTGATCCACAAGGCAGTGAAGCGATGTCAGGAGATGCAGTCCCATGGTAGCTGGTGACCAATAATTGGTTCATACCCCATTTGTTCCCTTAGGATCTTGGAGCCCATGTACACCATTGACTTGGAATCAGGGTTTTCTAACTCCCGTAGGTGGATCCTCTATATCCACCGACCCGGTTAAAGCTTCGGACATTCGCTTTTGATCCTCTCAATTTCGTAAACAGTGCCTCCGCCACGAGAAGGCAGTGAATAGGACTTCCCTGGCAGTGGCTGTATACACGTGGCCATGTGAGAGCATTTCGAGAGGGAGAGCTAACTCTCCCTACCCTCGGCCGTACCAGGGCATTTGAGGACCCAGTTTTTCCAGGTTTTCAATGATGGTCTAACTTAGATCGGTTCATGATTTCAATGAAATTTAGGTGTTGAACCGTTGAGAAACTGCTCCACAGCTTTCACATTTCATAGAATATATTATTAGTCCTCCAATATTCGTATTCTTTAAGAGAATATTTTAAGTCACAAATTATATGATCACTTATCTAAGCAGTCTTGTTAATTTATGTCTTGGGCTTTTTATTCTCTCCATCGATGCTTAAGACTGAAACTGATCAGTTTTTTTGGCATATGTGCATTCTGTGTAGATGCCTCGATATTGCCACTAAGTCATAAGCATGTCTAAGCAGAAACGAATGGTGACTATTAGTGGAATTCAAGACCCGTGTTTCATCCTATCTGGAACTCGTTGGCTACATGTACCTGCATCCCGGAGTCCTGGAGTGAGCATCAATTCCGGGATGCAGGTACATGCAGCTAAGTCCCGGATAGGGCGAAACATGCGTCCTGGATTCTACTGACAGCCACCATTTATCTCTCCTCAAATATCTTTTAAATACAAACCTCAGAGTTCAATATTTGTATTGGGAATTATTTATTTATTAGTTTTAACATACAATGTACATAAATATTATTATAGTAATATGTAGTTGTTTGAAGTAAACTTACAGTTATCAGCAAATGCATCAGTGAAAAATACATCCCGAAATCCAACAATAGCAGAATGATTTAAATCAGATAGTTGTTTAGCTAAATAAAAAGCATCAGATGATAGAGCTGCTTCATGATCAGGTGGTAAAATTATGCGTCGAAGAAGCATATATCGACTAAATCGAGGAGACCAAGCTTTAAAACAGACTCCAGGAAGGCCAAATGTAACTGATACTCTTGGTTGATCTAAAATTTCTAGAGGAACGAGGTCAGTGTAAGCTCCTAGGTTGCGAGGTAATTCTGTGGGGATAGAAAGTTAGGACAAAAGTGAATTAGCATAGGCAGTAAAAGTTAACTGAGAAAAAATAGCTCTCTTTTCGTACAAAAATTAGATGAGATAATATTGCTGAATATTACGTGGTCTACTCCATTACGGCTGAATTATGTACAATGGTAGTAAACACCCTCTGCTAAATTACCCATCACTACGTATTAGATTTATATTTTGATATTAATAAGATAAATTAAGTCGTTGAAAATAACGAGAAAATTCCAATTGTCTTTAAGTTGTTTTTTCTTTATACAGAACTTTCCTTTCATTTTTCCTTTGTAACTCATGAGATTTCAGCTTTTGCTTACCAGTGGTTTCGAAGAATATGTAAGGGTACGTTAAACAAACAACAAGCCAGGTTCTTGAATAAATAAACCTAGTTAGTGCATTAGACATTATTTACACGCAATAGTTATTGGGTCAATCGCTGGTTTTTACATAAAAGTTCGAAAAAGAGATAACAAAGTAGTAACTAGCTGTTGAGTTATAAAATATTGACAACTGCACTGACGATAGTTTCATATTGTTAGCGGGACATAGACTAGATTAAAGCATGCTCAATGCATGATTGCTTTGGTGCACGCTGATTGGCTAATTCTTATCCAATCAGCACTGGTCGATAGTTGGAGAAGACTCTAGAATCTTCTTATGTAAAAACTATAAATATACTGACGTTTTCTCTATTGTGCTTCCTACTGGCTTCTGACTTGCTATTTGGAATATAATCTCTTTCCTGTTCAACCGTGTTTTGATTTGGGGACTTGTCGAGTGAATCGGTGTCCGAGAATACTAAGCAATAGGAATAGCTGGGTCATAACCGTAAGAAGAAAGAGATCATAACACATATGAAGCGAAAATGATGAGGATCGAAAATGTATTTCACTCTGATTGGGAATACTTCAGGTAAAATAACAGATGGACTTGAAGATTATGGGCGAGAAGTGGGGTGAGATTCACAATATCACAACTAATAAGATAATATTAGTCTACGGACCTAATTTAAGGTATCTTAAACTCTGTACTGTCTCCAGAAGCAAACTTTTGATGTATGATAACACACAAGAACTTAAAATGAACAAAGTTAAAAGTGGTTAGTGCCTAGGCTACGGTAACATATTTCTAGTAATGGGATCGCTAGGAATGGTTATGAAATACGAGTTTCTAACATCGCCAGAGCAGTGCACGCATCAAGATCTTTACCAAATACTCGTCTAAACACAATCGTATCTCAATGGACAAGGATATCAATCACCAGAAGGCCAAGCCTCTGTATGATTTTAGTTTACGTAATCAAAAACCGTAGTTGTCCGTAAATACTTTATTATTCAAGAGTAAAGTTTAAATTCCCTAGTTACATTTATTTGGAACTCAAAGATCCACCAACCAAAACTAAAGTAGAAATCTTCACCACTAACATTAGAGCAGTTTTCTTGCACGAAGCTGAAACTTGGAAAACTACTACAACAGCCATCGAAAGAATGAGAGTATTTATGAACAGGTATCTTCGCAAGATACTCCAAGCTCACTGTCCAGAGACCACTAGCAATAACATACTCTGGTAGAAAACAGACCATTTTCCAGTTGAGGAGAGAATTAAGAAAAGATGTTGAAGGTGGACAGGATACATTTTACGGAAATCATTGAATCGTATTGTAAGGCAAGCCCTAACTGGGAATCCTTACTGCAAAAGGAAAAGAGACAGATAGGAGAACACAGTGCATGAAATCGGAAGGAGAAACCAGGATCATAAATAGCACCTGACAACAACTGTGGAGGAGGTCCCAGGACAAAGTTGACTAGAGAAGCCTGGTTGGTTGTCTATGCCCTAAAAAGGGACAACAGGCTTGAGCAAAGTACTGTTTTAGATGGCTAACGGTACACTGGAGCACTGACGTGATTAGCATGAGTATGAAGAATGTAAATATGCAACCTACTTCTGTGAATAAACAAAAGGATTCTGGTTTTTGCTCTTGATTAGCAAACCTCGAACAAATGGCAGTACTGACGCAATCTTATATTTTGAAAAATCTTGTGCAATCTTATTTCACTAAACTATTATAATTCATCCATTTCTACAAAACTTTATTACCAGTCGACATCACTTACTTTCCTTTATGGACTCATCAGCCATGAACAAGCAAGCTTGAAGTTTACTGTGCAGTGCCTGAAATAAAGAATAAAACTTGTGAGTTTGATATTGAAAGGTCCCAGAAAAGAAATGGATTGAAGAAATGTAGTAGTAACTTACGTGCTTGAAGTCATCATCAATTATGATGGGACCAAATGCAGGGTTGTTGAACAAGTTTGGCTTAGCTTCATGAACTCTTCCTGTTCTCATATGAGCTGCAGTGCCCTCAGGAACTGGTGGGACAAGAATCCAAGGAGCGACTTTAAGGCTACCAGAGGCCTGGAGTTTTTTAGTATTTTCAAAATGATGACTGGAATAGAATTGAGAGGCAGTAATGGGAAGAACACACTGGGAGTCACTGAAAGGGGTGAGGTGAGTGTCAGGTCGCATTTCGGGAGGCAATGGAGTGTCAGATTGACAGGAGTTTAGTGAGGAACCTGATGAATTTTGTATATGAGATTGTCCAGGCTGTGTTAGCTGTCTTAAATTCGGTGGTAGAAAATTTTCAAACGAATGTGGAGAGGTCAACATATTGTCAAATGCAGATGTAGGTGAGTTAGAGTGAGTGACGGTTGGATGATTTATTCTATCCGTTGTAAGACTGTCGCTGGCTGTGCCGCCAAATCGATTAGAGAAGAAGGATGAACAAACCTCAGAGTTTGAGGGGATCTGCCGGCTATCTGGTAAGTTGGAAAGGACACGAGAAGAAGAAACACCAGGACCCTAGAAAAAGACGCGAAAACCTGAATTAGTACACTTTATGAGAATAGTATCTACTTTAGAAAGGTATTGTTGAAGCTATTAGAATAACCGTATGGTATTTGACCTTAAACCATTAGTAGACTTTTACCCAAAACTAAAATCACTCCTAATTTTGAAGTTCTTTAACTTTGGCGTACTTAGGCGAAATAAATGTCTCTAAATTACAGGAGTCTTGTCTGAATGCCGTATAATTCCCATAAATACACTATCTTTCAATCATCATATGTTGCGTTATCATTTGATCACTCCCGATGGCTTATATAAATACAGTGAATGGCTCTTAGTAAGCATTTTGGACTAAGAATATAGCTTCAAGCCAATGAATATTAACATTACTAAGATTTATCATGATCACATCAAGTAAACTATTCTGATGCTATTATATGACTACTTTCTTCACTTGGTTTTCTATACGAGTTACAGAATCTGCAACCAATCTAGACTCAACGAAAAGCCGTCGAAACGCTTAAAATCAGATATATGATGTAGTTGTCCCGAGATCTTAATAAGAAACGAAGTATCTCAAACAATCAAGTCAAAAGGTACAGTCTTGGCTACAATGACATACAATCAGTCTGTGTAAGAATTCACTAGGTGCACAGAGGCTTCAATAACAGACTAGTAGCCGTAAGGTTTATGTTAGTTTCTTCGGGACAAGCAGCTTATTAACAGAATCAGATAAAAGATTTATGATGCTCATAGAAATAAATCGGAAGGATATGTGCGGTCATCTCCAAAGGGAATGGTGCAAAGGATATGCACAACTTGAATTAAGATGTTGAAGTCGTGACACATACTCATTAAACTAACATTCGTATGTCAATTTAGGCCATTTTGTGAGAAAAATTCAATTAAGTGAATATGAGGATAATCACCGTTACAATCGACTGTAGGCGCTCAAATACTATCTTAACATGCTAGCCGTGTAATTCGCATTGTTTAGCATCAGTTAACGCTTTGAAAGAGAAAGCGGACGGACAAAATCTGTCAGCCACTTGGCAGAGTTGAGTACTCCCGACGTTATGCTCAAGTAAAACATTGCTGACATAGATATATCGGGGAAAAGCACATCACAATGTGCTTTTTACTTGTATCTACCTAAAATGATTATCCTAACAAGCACAACAGATTAACGAAATGGAAAACACTAAGTTCATAAGTTACGAAATAAGGTTAACGTAGCATCCTGCTGTTGTAACTTTTTCAGGACAGTATGAACACCTCGAGAAGCGATAGATAATAGATATTCCTTACACAAAGCATTCTTTATTAGGATGAAGAGAACAAGAACTGAGTTGAATGGAACAAAGTAAATTCTTTTTGATTCACTAGGTTCATGTTGGCCGTTTACGACTGAAACATTACAATCAGAATTACATATGAGGATCACTCTACTCATACAAACAGTTCAGTTAGAAGTGGATGTGAATATATTTCATTATAGTGAAACAATAATTGATTATACTTAGACCTTTAATCTTCACACTAAATTTTAACTACATTCGTATTAATATATTAGCCTCTATCTGGAAACCTGGTTTAAAAGCATCATAGGTGCTAAGTAGCTGGTAACTTCGCGAAATAAAACGATTTCATTCTGTATGGTTTTTGATTGAGCTAAAGCCCCCCGAATGCCCTGGTACGGCCGAGAGTGGGGTGAGTCCGCTCGCCCTCTCGAAATACTCTCACACGGCCGCGCGTATACAGCCTCTGCCAGGGAAGTCCTACTCATTGCCTTCTCGTGGCGGGTGTTGTTTACAAAAATGAGAGGACGAAAAGCGAATGTCCGGCGCTTTAACCGGATTTCAAACCAATGGTGCACATGGGCTCCAGTATCCTGCGGGAACAAATGGCGTATGAACCAATCTTTGGTCACCGGCTACCATGGGATTGCATCTCCTTACGATGCTCCACTGCCTTGTGGGTTAGACCTTTAAGTCAAAGGCTCGGGGTGTGGCCTCCTAAGAAAACCACCTGCTTCGGTTTGGGCACCCGGGCAGTATCACAGCCCACACACAAACGATGAACTCTATGATTGAGCTAAAAGAGACTTACGTGATAATAGTTGATGCATTAACTTACTCGGGGACGGAACATGCTGGCAAATCCATGGTTTCCCGGGACTACCGCTTTTGATGTTAAAGCCACCCTTTCAGGAGCTCTCGTCGACTGTCCATTTTGTGGGGCGGGTGATGCTTTGGAAATAGATACAGTGGACAATACAGAGGGTCTGTTAGTGGAAGTGGTATTCAGCGAAAGGAAATCCGCTATCCCCAACGTACGGCCAGAAGCTGGGCGATGTGTGCTTGGGAAGACAGCCTCACTAGATGCACCAGGAATAGGACGAAGAAAATTCATTTGTGTAGCCGGTGGAGTCATACACATCGAGTTAGTTTGATCATTCATCTGTCACGAGGACATTTTCGAGAAATAACGGTAAAGTGTCATTTATTCGCGTTTACCTGAGTAAGTTGATTGGACCCGAGTGACAGATTTTTCAAAGTGTACGAAAGCATACTGTTCTGGATTCCTGAACCACCATGAACGTAGTTGGACGTCATGGCTTTCACAGTATGATGAAACTTCGTATCTTACGCAATTAAACCAAAATTAAAAGGGAGTCAACAATAGCTCGAGTGATTACTTTTTATTAATAGTGTTCAGCAGTACACTACATCCCCCGTCTAATAAAGTGAAGTGTAACGACACAGACTTTGCTCCCGCCAAAAATAATGCTCAAATTAATATAATTTCAAACATTTATAAACTTAATAGAGGTTTGCGTTCGACTGACTTCCGTGCCATGTAGCAATGAATCACCAGTTTTTCTTATTGGGGTTGTAGATGTATACCAAGAAACAACAATTGAACAGTGGTTCTGAAAATTCAGAGTGATATTTTGGGTCCTTATGAAAACATAGGATATAGTACCCTACGTATTATACATAGTGATGATATGTAATAGCTCAGTGTTGACTCAACCTAATAAGTGTTTCAAGAGAATCTCTCATCTACATTGCATCTCTCGCAATGGAATTTCTGCTCTTGAATTATAGGCGTTGGTTGAAACAAACCCAATTTCGGTCTTCAGTAATAAGGATAGTAGGTTGTTTAACCTGCAATAATCCTGACAGATTGCCTTCCGGTGAAGGTCTAGCTTGTCCTTGAAAATATTCACTGATGGGGCCTATACCACTTTTTCAGGTAAGGCGTTCCAGTCATTGACTACTCGATGAGAAAAATGGGACCCCACTTTAAGTTTATTAAATCGCGGTTTGTGAACCTTCTTGTTGTGACCTTGGAGATTATTAGTGCTGGAGGGAGCAAAAAGATAAGACATATTAACACCCAAATCATAGTGAAAGATACGAAATGCTAGTATAAGGTCACCCCGCGTCCTACGATACTACAAGGGGAAAAGGTGTTTTAAACGCTCACCATAAGGGAATTTAGAAAGACCCTTCATTACTTACGTTCCCACACGCTGGACACGCTCAAGTGAGTTAGTATCCCTTGCCAGACATGGGCTAGCCACTTAGATACAGTACTCTAAATGTGGTCTTACATAAGTGGGATATAAAATTCGAAACATTTCCTCGTCAGAAGATTTGAACGCTCGGTGAAGTGACCATGACGCACGAAAACCTTTGACAGCGGCTGCGTTGCAATACGTATTTGTTTTTCAGTCATGACTCATTATTACTCCTAAGTCTTTATGCTCTTGAACGCATGGAAGAGGTTTACAATCAGTAGTATAATGGTAACTGTTACCGTGACCAATGTACATTAGCACACTTTTCCTAAAATTGATTTCTAAGCCCCAACCTCGAGCCCATCTAACTAAATCGTCCAAGTTAGCTTGTAGATCCAAGTGATCAGCCCCACTTTTTGTTGTTCTCCAGATTTTTACTTCATCCGCAAACAATAATGTCGACGACCTAAGCAACAGATGTAACTCGTTAACGTAGAGAAGGAAGAGCAGAGGGCCTAAGATGGTGCCCTGGGGTACACCACTTTTGATCGGCTTCCAATCGGATAGCGTTTCTTAGACCTTCACTCTCTGTTTGCGGTCACATAAGAAGTTTCCTATCCACTCCTGTACAGTACCTATTATTCCGAAGCTCGTGAGTTTCTGCATAAGACCTAAGTGTGAAACCTTGTCAAATGCTTTGCTAAAATCTATGAATACCATATCGACAGACAGACCTTTATCTAAGGCTGCTATCCAATCCTCTTTCGCATTGAGTAAGTTGGTCAAGCACGAACGCTTGTTACGAAATCTATGTTGCTCAGTAGCTAACAGATTGTGTGAATCTATGAGGCTTAGCAGCCTAACCCGAACTATCTTTTCAATTGACTTAACCGCAATGCTAGTTAGACTGACAGGCTGGTAGTTAGATACGATCTGTCTCTGACCATCCTTAAATATAGAACTGATAATAGTGTCTTTCCAATCTCTAGGGAGTTGGGCGAGTGAAAGGGACATGTTGAAGACTGTCGCGAGTGTTTTTGAAACAATGTCCGCAAGAGATGACCGCAGCCGTGGACGTGTAACATTATGCCTCCCTCCTTGCGACTTAAAACACTATCACTTCCAATACAGATATGGCCTGCAATGATGGGAGAACATTCTGTATCTATGGTGAACCAAGTTTCTGTAACAACAATTATATCGGGACTTAATTCATCTACCACTAGACCTTGTTATTAATTTTTGTGATTATTTATAGGTTTTAATTACTCCGTTCAACCTGTACAAACACTGAATTGCTTAAATAATTTATAAAGTGATTTTCATCATTCATGTTTACTGTTCACATGTTTTAATAATTACAGGTCATTAACTATACCTGTTCACACATACCTTCAGGGGATGGTTGAAATAAACTTTTGTAATTGGGTTTTGTATTTTTTTATAATTTTTCATGATTTGTACAACTACCATTATTGACTGTAAATTTTTATGCAGCGGCAAATCCCCAAATAAATAGTTATGTTAATCTGGTGGAGTTTTGTTCTCTGAGCTGGATCGTTTGGTCGTGAAGCTTTCATCGTTCTTCTGAACGACATCATCAGCACAAACTTCAGGTAGAAGTGAAGTGTTCGAATTTCTCCATATATGTTTCAAAGGTTGTTCTGTGCACCTTGATGTTGATTGGTTCTTATTGACCCTAAATTTGTCATTGTTTATTTGTTTTGGTTGTGTCTCCCATTGGTTTGATTTTTGTTCCCATATTTGTGCATGATTTTCCCGATTGGTTGGTAAATTGGATTGATTTCAATATGATTGTTGATTGCTGATTGACCTGAGCGCCAGGCTTCTAAAAATTCTCTGGTGTTTTTGGAGTTTCTTCTGTCTAAGATTTCCTCATTTTTCTAATCAAATGAGTGTCCGGAGTTGTCCACGTGTATTGATATAAGTGAGGAGACATCATGGCGTTTGACTGCTAATTGATGTTCGTGTAGGCGAAGGTGAAGGAGGCGACCGCTTTGCCCGATGTAGTGTTTTTCGCAGTTGACACAATTTATTTATTTATTTTAAAAAAAATAAATTGTGCCTGAAGTTTGTGCTGATGATGTCATTCAGAAGGACGATGAAAGCTCCACGACCAAATCATCCAGCTCACAGAACAAAACTCCACCGAAATTATTCACCTGAGCTACAAATCTTCGCCATTTCAAAGTTCTGTAATTCCTGAACATTCGATGCTGACCACGTTAGTTTCACTGGAGTCACCTTGCTGAAGTCGCTTGGTTACGCATCCGTACAGAATAATGGGTGGATATACCGTTGTCTGCGTCTCTAACAACCGTTAGTCAGCTTATATCAGACACTTCCCGATATATCGGTAGCCTTTCAAACGTATCTTCGAACCTCTTCATTTTTGATTTCCGATTTGACTGGGTTGGCATACTTCGGTTATGAAAGTGTTAAGTTTAAAGGCGTCGTCAAACTCCAAATACCATCGACATTTTTAGCTTATTTAAAACAGGATCTTCGATCTTTCATTCCGTTTTTGAAAACCCCATTGCATGACATACTGATTATCGCCCATGAGTACAGTGATGCTTCTTGTTCGCAATTATCTACTGTTTCGGCAACAGAACTCCGATATATTTGCTGTCTACCTTTACAGATCACAGTGATATCCTCAACACAATAAACATCTCGAATCATATCAATGAAATTTGGAATTACTGACCACTTATAATTGTGGATAACGAAACCAAAAGAAACTCGAACACGCCTATTACTAACAACTGAAGTAACGTCTAGTATATTTTTTATGTGTATGATCTATATTTGGTATATTAACACATTGACAGTATTTCGTAAGAACTTCGCCGTTTTTTTGGAATTGATATGTTTTAGTACACCGCAGCCTTGTTCCGTCTTCCTTGCGTGTCATTCGTTACTTGTTTATTAATAATCCCATTGCACATGTTGCAGCTCACATGGTTTGGAATGTTGCCTGTCAACTACACACGAAGACTTTCGATATATACATGGCATTCCTTAAATCATTCTTCTGCATTTGTAATGGCTGTGCTTCCTAACCACATGATCTTCGACGCCGTTCATGTAATTACTGAAAAGATATACATTTAACATTTTCACTTATAGAAGGTCAACAATGGTGAATATGGCAATAACCATTCGAAATTGCATGGCTCGGTCATGCAGGCGTGGTTATTATAACCTCATACCTTTTGTACTCAATATGCCACTCACATCCTAGTTCAAACGTGCTCTTCATAAAGGCTGGACATCATGTTGCTGATTTTCACCATGGGAAAAGTCAGCGTAGGGAATTACGTAACTCCCGCGCTAGATATTATAGATAAGTTGTCACATCACGACAAATCTACAGTTTTGTCGTTGGTTTTATCAATAGCTCAACTAGGGCGAAGATTCTAATACCGGAAATGATCATAATTCTACACAGACACAATTGTGGATATATATTTGGGCAGTTGAAGACGCACGTTTCTGACAGAATAATTGACCCATACGTTTTGTATATATTTGTTGCTGTGCTCGGTTAAATTATTATTCTTTATATACCTTTCGTAGTATTAACTGATTCGAGTTATTTTCATATATTTATTGGTCCACCAGAATTATTTGTCTAGCCATTGTTTGCTTTATTCATTCCTATAAATTAAATAACGTGTTCAGTGTATTTTTGTTCATTTACTACTGTGGTACAACAACTACTACTGTGTTATCTCTACATATAATGTACCTAACTGAAGACATGGACACAAAGAAAATCACTGTAAAATATTGCTCTGATGTCTCCAAACTATCTGAACCTACTATAACAACCATTAGTACAACAGCTGCTTAAAACTTAACTCCATGTCGTGCAAATAAACCTGGAATTCGGTTCGCTCAAGTAGAAGCTATAATGTTTGCTCATAAAATACATCCACAGACGGCCAATTATGGACATGTATTGGGCGCACTGCCTAAAGGAACTGCAGTTGAGGATAGAAACTTCATCCACCAAGTACCGGAGGATGAACCACATTACAAATTAAAATCCAAAGTCATACG